GTTGGGAATGTGAAGGTGGGTGAATCATCATCAAATCATTGCAAGCTATTGCAGGAAGTCATCGTCATATTGACAAATTTGGAGTCGGGTTCTTCAATGTGATCTTTTGATCCCAAAGGCATCGAGGTCACTTAGGGCATCCACAAAGGTCACTGTGAAGAAGTTGAAAGGGCCGCACGGAGCACAAGGGGCACGTACACACCTTGGTCTTTCTTAGTCCCTGCGGATGTAGTGCATCCGGTCCTATCAGTGATCCAAAAGGGCCTTTTGAAATAGGACCTCAATGTTTGAGGAGATGTTGAGGCCACCGTGCCTCAAAAGCGCATAGTTAATTTCTTTCGAGTGACCCACCATTTCAAGGCTTTATTTGTTTGATGAACTTGGTGGGCCGTGGAGATCATCCGAAGTTATTCAAAAATGAAACTAGTAAACATTGATCACATGTCATCTGTTGATCACACGAACCAGTTCTTGCACGCCGTGCGCCGTGCCATTTCAAGTAGCTGCCGCATGTTTGTTCTGAAGCAAAGTGTCATGTGAGACGCATGCCGAGCTACTTCTCCAGCAGTGCTCATTCCACCAGGCAACTGTTGCAAGGGGAGCTCTGGAGCTCTCAGGTCTGTGATCTGGCACTCGTGGTTCAGGGACCTCCGTGATGCTTCATCAAGCTCTGGAGCTTTAAGGAGGAGGCAGAGCGGAGAAGATGGAGAAGGAGAAGGAAGGACACCCATGGCACATAGACCGAAGAGACGCACCAAAATATGCACCTGAGTTCGTCACGCGTCCGTGGGCTGCTTTCCCGGAGCGTCAAGTCGCGTCGAGAGAGACCTCAGACCTCGTCCAGGGTCGATGTTTCCGAGGTCTTTGAGGTGTACCATCATGGTTTAAACCCGGCATGGCCCCCGAGTTCTTGGATGTTTCACATGACATTGCAAGGAACGTGGCAAGCCTTGAAGTGGAATGTTTTGACGTTCCCATCTTCATGCGAGACTGATTGGCCAAGCAAAGTGCCGTTTCCATCATAGAACCATGGAACTGAATGCAAGGCTCGATGAAACTTGCCAAAATGGATCCATGTTGTGTGCAATCATGGTCGCAGATTTGGGGGACACACTTGGGTTTTAACATTTACAACTCTTTCCAAGCCAACACTTTAGCGCAGTAGTTTGCAAAACTTTCTGACTAACTCTTCACAAATATGGAAGAAAGTATGCTGGACACACTTAATACCCCAGATAGCAAGATCAAGGAACAAATCCTCTACCAACAGGTTGTCATCCACTTTCAGAGTCTAGTGAGAGTTGTCCCAGCCCAAAACGTAGCCTCCTTCGCAGCTTTACAGCTTTCGAAAGCCCGCTGTTCTTGCAGCTTCGCAGATGCGTGCGAGGGAAACCAATGTCAGTGCTCCCATTCACCGACCTGGTCAAACCTCCAGTGGAGCACGGACGGGGCAAGGAATTCTTGGAAGAGTTGGAAGATGAACCGCTGGGGAAAAAACTTTGGCTTGCAGTTCTGGAAGAGAACTTGGGGCAGGCGACCAGGATGCATGTGAGGTAATTGAACATGTTTTTTTTTGTTTTTTAACGTTTTTGGTGCGTACAAACGTGTTTGAGGGGCACCTTGTACGACATGATACAGATGTTTTGTTCCTTAGCTGGAACACTCCCCTAGACGATTTGGATTCCACTCAATTGGAGCGTTTGTTTTTTACGATTCTATATACATGGATGTTGAGTCAACAGTGGGATTGCATTAAAGACTTGTGCACATACTACGTGGTTCCAGATCTTACGATCGTTTGGCGGTAAGCTTTGCAGGAGGCCCGACTCCCTGGATTAAGTGGATCTATAGGTCAAGGCAAAGCAAATTTCATTTTACCGTCTCAGCTCAACCACGTGGATGTCACAGTTGTCCCCCTCTCAGTCTATATGTTTGTTTGTTTTTCGTGTGTTATTTTGTAATGTTGCGAACAACATTCTCCCATCAACAGTTGTTGGTCACAATTTGCTCGCACAATCTGACCATTCCACCGAAAGACCCCACGGCTTCTCTCCTGAAAACAGGTTGGATTTCTGTGCCCCCAGCCAAGGTGGTCGAATTGCTGGCACAAGGAGAGGGGGATCTCTGGGAAGAAATTGTGGCGTTTTCGGCCTAAGTGTCACTGGTTGTTTCTTTTTTCCCGCAAGAAAACGCTCAGCTGGGACTGAAGTTGTTTCATGCGTTTTTTGTCCACAGCTATAACATGAAATGTAGATCCAAGGACCGCAACCCATCTCAACCCTAGAGAGGAAAGAGTTCAAACTTCCGGACAGGTGATCGGTTTCAAGGATCACCAGTTCCTAAAACGTCCTGATCGGATCCCCCAATTTGTTCAGACGGGACCAGTACAGAGATTTCACCAGACACAACTGGTGGTTGACTATGGAAGATTGAAAATTGAGACTTTGCCCGAGAGGGTCAATCCTTTTGAACAAGACATATCAACACCCCCAAACCCATAACCATCCATAACCCATGGTCTGTGGTACCTTGGTATCTCGTGATGTCCACACCCAGGTGAACGGAATGGCACCATTGCACCATATATGTTGGGTTTTGTCCATGACCTTACCTGTGACGGTCGGTAAACAAGTATCATCGTCAGCTTCATCGTCATCGTCATCGTCATCTTCATCTTCTTCATCATCATCATCACAATCATCATAATAACAATAATAATCACCATCATCATCCTCACCCTCACCCTGACCCTCACCCTCACCCTCACCCTCATCCTCATCCTCCTCCTCCTCCTCCTCAGCAGCAGCAGCAGCATCATCATCATCATCATCATCATCCGCTGTTGCTGGTCACAGGATGTACCCAAACATATACGATTTACCTACCAGCAAAAGTGGATAACCTGCAAAACCTTTTTGGGGCATTGGGGACATCCCACTAAAACACAACAGAAAGTAAAACCACTTGCAGGAATGGTTCTAAGATAGTAACTTAACACCGTGAAAGCACTTCCACAACTGGTCCGATTGTTGGCAGGATAGGGCCGGCATTGTACTCCCTGGTCCTTGTCAGCCAGCTCAGGTTTGAACACATCAGGTCAACGGACAGTGGCTCATCTACACGCGACCTCGCAGACATTCTGGGGTCTAAACATCTTCCCCCTGCACCTTTATCCAAGAAGTCACTAGCTGGCTCTTAGTCTCACTTCAAAAAGCAACTCAAAAACACCTCAAAACACCCCGTTTTCCTCGTTCTCCTTCCTCCTTCCTCCTTCATCTACCAGGCGCTGACGCGAACTGGCGCACCGAGCACGGCTCCGTTCTCTCTGCGGCGCTCGCGGCGAAGAAGGCCGCCCTGGTAGCGCCCATCCTCGAGGCGGAGCCAGACGAGTCGAAGGGACCTATAGGTCTTTTGTTGAAATATCAGGTGAGACTCCTTCTCTCCTTTTGTTCCCCAGAGTCCCTGGGTATAGTAAGTAAATCCGCTATTTAACTGGTGAATATATAGGCGAAGATGTGTTGTTTCCTGAACTGGGTTAGAAAATCCTGTAATTAACTGGTGAGCAATGTTGAACATGTTTGTTTTTCCGGTTCCTTAAGCAAAGTCAAGAATAGGCAGACTATCCATGGGAGCTTTCAAAGGGGTCAACTGATCGGCATATGTTCCAGTCTCATGGTCTATATGCAAACAAGCAACATGCAAGTATGTGTACATGGAAGATCATGGAAGTGGACATTAAGGGACTCATACCAAAGCAGTGTTTTCCATGTACTTTGGAGGGCAAGCTGCAACACCATAAGCTGCACCATATTGGGATCATCGCAAGCTGGTCGATATCCGCTAGTTTACCATTCTGGGGGGTGTTTGGTGTTGCGGTTCAACCTGCATTTCGAGCCAGGGGCTCCTGGAGGCTGACCTTGGCTTAGGGGCCCGAGTCTCTGAAGAAGATCTTGTGTGTCTTCTTATGAGTCTTCCACGGATTTCCATGGTCCAAGCACAGATTTATCCAGAATTCGGCGTCGCGACTCGGAAGACTTCATCGAGAATTCGGCGTCGCCGCACGGCTGGATCAAGCACAGCCTCCTTCCAGGACTCCTGGAAGAGGACTCTGGAACAATGGGGTGACCAAGAGACCCACCATGGGTTGACCCCTGATCGTCCCTTGGTGCAACAAACATGGGCTTTTGGACCGCACCTGTCGGGTCCGCGTTCTGAACGTCGGGGACATGACACATGACCCGCGCGTGGACCGGAGCATGAGACTGAGACATGACCGTTTCGTGGACCGTCCGCGGTTTCATCGAAAGCTGCGTCAGATCAGACCGAAATCGCGTCAGATCCATGTGAACCATGCATCTCCAACAACATGCCTGAAAAGAGCACCGCCACCGCCACTCCGCCACTCCTCCAACCCGTTCCGCCCACCGTGTGAGACGCCAGATCGCCCCCAGATCGCCGCCGTCAACCTCCGTGACCATCGGTTCCGTCAGGCCAAAGCCTCCATTGGTGAGCACGACGTGGGAGCTTTGAGTCGGCTGTTTCGGGGGGGAAGGCCCCGCCTCCACCGACACGGTGGAGATCTTGCTGCAACCGCAGGCCTGGGGTGAGGGGAAGTGAGGTGAGGGAAGTGAGGTGAGTAGCTGGGAGTGTTTTGGAGGGCGAAGGCTTTTTGAAGTAGTGAGGATGAAGTAAGTTGGGCGGGTTTGGGGAGGTCAATATGAAGAAGTCGGGTGCCCATGATGGAATTCCTTCGATTTCACGACTGTGGGGGTCCAAAAATGCATCTCTGAGTGGAGATTACGACAGTTCGATAGTGGCCCAATCATTTGATCATAGCAGTTTTCGGTGCTTCGAGGTGTTTGGCGCCATCGCTTTGACCCACCCAACGTCCTCTTCGGCCCCTCCTCCATGTCCGGACTTCGTCTTCGCGAGCGCTAGGGCGACTGCAACGCTTGAGGACGCGCCTGGATTGTGTTTTAGCGCCCAACGACAAGGACTTTATGGGACTGGAAGCACAGACGCTTGGTGAAGGACTTGTTGAAGACCTGATGGAGACTGACAAATACACTCCCGAAAACGATCCCATGGACCCGGGTTGAGGCAGGAATGTTCAGTCCGACCGTGTTCCTCGGTCGCTGCACCGGCTTTCAGGGTTTGTGTTTGTTTTCAGATGGAGTGCATGTCATGTAAACCCGAGTCTTAGGACTTCTCTGAAGTCTCAAACCGCCTGCGTCGTCCTGACAGAGATCAGGAAGGGTCAACTGTTGCAGGGGTGCATGATCTACTTAGCCATGCCCAAAAGCTCGACCCGAATGCCTTTGAGGGTCGGACCCTGAAATCGTTTTGGAGCCGCGAAAGGGCTGCGGAGCGGAGCGGAGCGGCAAGTTCGGAACGACTAGACCTTCTTTGCCGGTAGGTCGTTGGAGATGATGGAATTCGTTGGGTCCTTTTCGTCCTTAGTCGTTGGGTACATTTGGTCCGTTTTGACCGTTTGATGCTCTCGTAAATTTACAGGAAAATGCTCGACCCCTCGACAAGACGCCGTAGAACCAGAGTCTGACACCAGCTCAATCAAGACATTGTCCATTTGCCCACATTGTGCGCTCTTGAACCCAGACCATCCATAAGGGATGCCGAACTTGGAGGAAGTCGGGGTGCCCCTGTCACATCCACGGCCGCTGGATGGAACAAAAACCACCCAACTCCATGTGACTCTTCGTGCAGACTGACCCCATTTTCAAATGACCCCAATGTCTCAATAACTCTTGCAGTCCGTTGGTTCTTCTTGGCAACTGAAACAATTCTGCCAGGAATCTACTCCTGAGAAGCCTGGAAGTCCAAAAATGTACGCAGCCAGGCCCACTTTCTGTCCCTCCCCGGCAGTTCTGGGTCGATTGAGGAATCTGTTCAACACGCCTGAAGTTCAAGCAGAGCTCAAGCTATTGCCTTTGTCCGCAGATCTCGCATGTAGTCCGCTGATTTTACAAGCCCTGGCTGAAACTGCCAATGAAGACACCCTGGAGACAGACACAGTGCCCAGTTTCATCTAGCGCGCTGGTGTTTGTTCTTGATGTTCTTTAAACCATAGTTTGGGTTGCTTGTTGTTTCACCTCCTGGCTGGATGTAGGCCAATGTAGGTGCCAACTGCTTAGCATTAGAAAAAAAGTTGTTTAAGTAGCAAAAAATATGCTGTCGCTGTCGATCACTTAGCCCCGACTTTGATCGCCTTGTCCAAGACTCCAGCAGGTTGACTTGATCTGGAACTGTAAAGAGGATCGTTTAAGAGGAGACCTTTGGAGGGGTTCAACTTGTCCCCCCCATCCAACCGACCGAATGGCAGCATCGAATCATTTCGAATCCTAGAAGCCACGGAGAAGCCTGATATTTTGTTCAGTCGAGCTGATTGGTGTTCATTTTTGAACTAGGTACATGCCGTTTTGTGGAGCGCTTGGATTCAACACCGTTGGACGAGTCTGATTGATATTCTCCTAAATGGGGTGAATGTGGTGCTACCTGGAATTGCACATGTTTCGCATGTTTTTTTTATGTTTTGACCCTTTCCCCAAGCCTGGAAATCGGTTGCGTTGTTTCGGTGATCATTCCTGTACTTTCATGTATGTGATTCCTGGGAATATTGGAACGCCAGACAATGACAACAAACCAAAGCATCAATTCCTCGAAGATCAGAGATAGCTTTTTGTTCCCCTAACACTCTTGGAAGCTCGTGCTCCCAGAAGATGTTCCAGGTTGCTTTGCCTCTTGTCTTTGATGTATCATGGCCTGGAGACGCGAGTCTCACCTAGCAACTTGAGCGCCGTTTTGGCGGTTCTCTATGCCAAAGAGGTGATTGAATGGTTCTTGGCCTGTTTTCCAGAGTGCCTGTCTTCTGGCCTTAGCGTTGATGTCGTCTGGGATGCCTGGCAGCTGCTTGGGAAGCGTGTGTTTTTTGGATCTTCCCCCTGCCGCGGAGGGGTGACACCTGAAAATCCGGGCCAAGGCTCCCTGGAGACGTGAGTGAAGAACTGGAACATGTTGGTTTCGAAAAGTGTTGCCAAGTGAAGAAAGTAAGAGGTGAGTTTCTATCCCTAAGGATCCAGTCGTACCCTCGTTTCGAAGGTGGGACTGGGGTGGGTGCCAGGAGAGTCCAAGTACCTTCTGAGAAGGTACGACTGGATCCCTAGGGTATGAATGTCTTGTGTCGCACTTGTTGCGAAAACATGGACAGAATGGACCACCTGGTTTCGGTCAACCCAAAAGGTACCCGGGTTCCCAGTGCCATGACTCCCAGCCACGTCTGTCAGGATACGGTCTACTGTGGCATTGGATGGGTAGTCATCAGCAGTCATTTGGGTGTCCTGGACCTCAATGATGCAACCTTGAAGCCCTTCATGGCCGTGTAGCTCGGTTTTTAAGCCTTGAGCCGTGTTTTTTGGCGGAGAGAAATCGTCCATGACCTTGTTTTGCATGTACTTCGGACGCCCAGTTTTGGTGGACTGATATATTCTATATATGACATATATTAGGACTGTTTTTGTTAAATGTTGTTTGGACATCTCGTGCAATGCTATAGTCGTGTTATGTCATGTTGTTTTTACTGTAATTAGATAGGAACTCCTGAACTAGGTGAGCCCCTAGATTTCTCGCCGAAGGTTCAGCTGTCTCGCTTGGCTCCGGATGCTCTATAGCCTCCGCGGGGAAGCCTGGCTGGGACCACGCTTCTTGCCCATCGTTGCAGCGATCAAGGTGCCATGGCTGGTGAGAATCCGATGTGTGTGTGTGTGCTGGGTGGTGGCTTCGGAGATGTTTTTCTTTTTTTTCTTTCTTCAACTCGTTACTTAGGAGGGTTGAATCCATGAGGAGTTGAATCCACCAAGCAGTATGGATTTCAGCAAATCCTCTTTTAGGGGTCAATTTCATGTCTTAGGGATGCCCAGAAGATCTGCAACCCAGGGGTTTGGGTGGAGAAAGTGTTTAGCCGAAGTACCCCACTCCAAATCTGATATCCTGGTTATGACATCTTATGAGTGTTCAGCGGATTCACATGGATTTGCTGATGTTTCCCTTTTCAGACTCCCTCAGAGGAAAGAGATGGGGACCCATGGACTCAGAGATTGTTTGAGAGCTTGCTGTTGATGACAAAATCCTGGAAACTCTAACAGAATCAAACACGCTCTCAACAGTGCTGCTCCTCCATCTCATGATATCTCCTTGGGAGTTCAGAATTTCCTCCAACAGTCACTAGGGAAGCATGGGAAGCTACATTGAACCAGTGTACCAGTGAATGCTGCAGCCAGGACACCGCCGCCTTCTTTTTTTATTACCACGATCTGCGTCATGGCCACGGCTCACGGGTACTACCAGATCGCCCCACGTGCTGAAGATCCATCTCCGATCTTCTCGTCCTTGCTACAAACCTTTCGACTTGGCATTTTGTCAGTGGCATTGGCTACCTTTTGAGGTGCTTTCTCTTAACAAAGACAAAGACTGTTGCGGCAAGTTGGCAAGTTTTGCCCGGCTTATCAGGTTCCGGTATTTTCCAGTGCCATTCAAGAGGTAAATACCGGAAAGTGAGAAGGTACAAGACCAAGACTGTGTTTTGGGATGTTTTTGGTCTTTGATGTTTGCTGAGTTTTGCAGTTGCACCCCCACGCAAACTCCCATGACGACTTGACCAAACACGACTCTTGGGTAAGCCCAAAGAGTGAATACCCCCAGACCATCCATGGGACTGGAACAGTTTCATACATTCATCATTTACCCCTAAAGGTAGCTTTCCTGAAAAATTGACATGTTTGGAATTTACGTGAATTATATTACCCCAGGGCTCCAACCATATTCTCAGAAGGTGCTTAGGCTCCCCTGGAACCCACCATCTTCGAAACGGAGGTGGTTGGAGGCCTAGGGCCTAGGGTTAATAGGCATCCCAAGCCTCCGAAGCCGAAGCCTCGACGACTCGGCGTCGCCTTCCTCGACTGAGGTATTCTTGGAGACTTCGATTTGTTCGAGTTCGAAGGACAAGATACCGAGTACGATCGAGTGGACGCCACCTGGGTGCCCAGAGATCCCGAGCCCGGAGACTCGGCGAGCTCGGTACATAGTAGTAGTCCGGGAACACGGTCATGGTCAAGGTCACTCGGAATGTGCAGAGATTCAGGCTGAATTGAAAGAAGCACTCAAATTCAGGAGGGGGGCGATATCGATCATTGGTGGATCGTTTTTGCGATGCTGATTTTGGCAGTCAGGAAGGATTTTGGCAGCAAAACAACATCTCAACGGAATTGCCAGTGGAGAGATGTCCAAAACGCCATGCTTTTGAAGCACCACTTGTTTCGTTCGGAGTCCCTCTCCACGGACAATTCTGTTTGTTTCTCCCACCAAAAAGTCTGTCCAAGCAAGGCATGGAAACACATGCAGCGTGTTTCCCGATCCCGAAGCTTTCAATCAGAACGTAACTCTCAGCGACAAAAACTCCAAGGAGAGAATTTCATCTATGTCCACGTGACTGGCCAGAACACGGGCCGAAGACGGAAGGGTGGAGGGATGGTGGGAGGATCGTGAGTCGAGGGATGTAAGTCGATTCATGAGTATTGGGGACGACAACTTGCTGGTCCCGAGGATGGGACGTGATGGGACGTGACATGATGTGAGTTTTGTTGTTTATGTTTATTTAACTTTATTTAAGTGTATGTTTTTTGAGGTTGAACGTTTCAAGTGTCCAGGTTTGATCAAGAGGATGAGCCAAGGTCATGAGCTAGATGTGGTTCTTGAGGTCCCAAGGTCATCTCAGAAATGCTCCAAGTCCAAGGTCATCTTCTTCCTGACCAGCATTGGAATTACCGTGATTCTGATGAATATCTTCATCGCTGTGCTGGGTCAAAATTTAGAGCTCTTCCAAGACCAAGCGCAGCAGCTCTTCGCACGCGCCAGGGCCAAGATGCTTCTGGGACAACACCAACACCCTTGGGCCCGGTTGTGGAGGTTTTGTTGCGCAAGGATCAGAAGAAGAACGCGGGACGATGCAAAAAGCTTGAAGGATCCCTTTCAACGCTGCAGCTGCTTGAGGTATGTGCTTTACCGCAGCTTGTGGCCTCTATCCATTTTGGCTGGGGAGCAGGCCATCTTCCGATCTCTTTGGAGTGAATGTTTAAGACGACCCAGGACTGCCTATGTGTTGCTGTTCTTCTGTCCAATGACGTTCTTCCTGTGCTTAGCCTGTTTGATCCCCTTCGGCTGTTGCTGCTTGGTCTTTCGGAAGCAAGGGCTTCAATTCTGGTTCCGGATCCTCTTTCTTGGCATCTACTGTGGCTTGGAGTATGTGCTTGCTTCGCTTGCAGGGAGTGACTGTATTTCACAAAAGGAATCACACAACATACCTTTCCACCCCGACCACTTGCATATGTATATGTGGCGAGAGAAGCCTAAGATAGATGGAATGGTAGGTAGGACATTTGGTGGAAATCAAGAACTTGTGATTCCCAAACACTCAGTGTATGGAATATGAAATAATATACATGTCTACATTGGCTCCTGAAACCACCCCACTATGCAATTATGCCATACATGGAGTGTTTGGGATTGATTGATGGATTGGACCGGATTGAATTGGATTGATTGATATGGAACTATACTCGGGAGCACTACCCCTATGTTGAAGGCCTTAGAACTTGATATGAAAACCAAAACATGAACCAGCCATCAGAAACAATCAGACCTTCGAACGCAAACAGAACCGAAAGAAAAGAGGAAGAACAACCAAGAGCGCCACGGTGCTCTCACTGGCTAAATCATGCTAAATCATCCTCCAGCATCCGGGCTCTCGCGTGCTCTCACTGGCCGAATCTTCCGAGAAAACTCTGAGGCTGTTCTGACGACGTCCTCCACTTTGAGGAGTGGAGCGCCTCAGGATGTCTCATTTGGGTCTTCCTAAGGCCCGACCCCCCCGCGGGAGGAGCTGCGAAGCACACGTACTGCCTTGGATGCCAAGATGCAGAAGATGGAGAGCAAGGTACAAGAGATTCTCGAGAAAAGAATTCAGTTGGAGGTTGCTTCAGATGGAGGATTTGTTCTTGGAGCTTTTCAGGTGGTTATTCGAGGTGTTTAGGGGTTGACTGCGTGGTTTGTGGGTGTTTGGATGTTGGAAGCACGACTTAAGGCACGTGTAGGGCCAGTGGGCATCCCACTGGCCACTGAACTCGGATTTGTGTGAAGGTTGATCCGCCACCATCGGCTCCAATCCTTCAAGTCGATTCCAGCGTCCCCCGTCCGGGCGCTTCTGCTTGAATTGATGTCTTCAATACCCCCGTTGGACCATTAAAAAAGGTGAGTTGACCTGGTGGTGTGGTCTAAATGGTTGGGAATGGTAAAACCCATGATTGTATACTAGTTGCTCGAAATCGATTATATACATGAAACCCGTGAAACACCAACACTGAAACAACTTAGACCTAGGCGACCCAGGTCCTAAAGGTGGTATCCTGGCTGGGTGAAGATAAATGGATACATTTTTGCAGAAACCCGGTGGATCCAAGATCCTTTATCCAGTCGACAAAAGATATGTTGTACCACCGATGTCCATGTCCGATACGATATGTCGATGTGTTGACATGTCGGTTTTCTATCGCCAATTGCGATCGATCGAGGATCGATTCAAACGTGCAGAACATTGATGCGAAGATGAAACAGATGGATCAGAAGATGGATGATATCTTGAACTTACTACGAGAGAAGCTGCCTGTTCTTGAATGACTGGAAGACGAATCATGGGTCGATTCTGTTGGCAGGTTGGTCAAGGAATCGAATCATCAATGGAATGGTGGGAGAACGAGATTTGAGGCTATCACAGTCCTTTTGACCCACGGCCATACATGGCTGGTGCAGCCGCTGATCTTCAAACTTTCTTGATTTTGGGGCTCCACTGCCCAAGGCAGAGGTTGGCAGAAAGAATGCAGACAGGAAGGATGATCTTCTTGTTTTCTTGCCGAGCCGTCATAAACCTATTGCACATCAAATGGGAAAGGAAGAGCGATGCTTGATTCCTTTTTCTTTCTTCTGAAAGCAACTTCCAGATTGTACCATGTTGTACCTGAAAGTTTTGGCAGCTTGCTTGCCATACAATTATTTTGTCCAAATTGTGAGTGGTACCGTTGCTACTGCATCCGACATGCCGACATGCTCTTACATGTGTTGCACGATAGCAACGACTGGCGACGACCGAAGGGGCGGATCCGCTCGCGTGGACGAAGCGCCCATTTCATTGGCTCGCCAGGTGGGACGGCGCTGCGGACGAAGGCTACGCAGTCCGCGGGCGCCCCAAAAGGGCGTCAGCAGTGGGGGAACTGGGTAAGTTCGTCGATCAGTGTGCATCGGCTGGTGGTGGGGCGGATTGAAATGGGACTGAGAGCCTCAAGGCATCTAAGTTGAAGATGGTCAATGGATGTGACAGACACAGGTCGGGTCACGGTACTGTCCGACATGGTCGGGTCACTGCCACGGTCGGTCCGCTGGGGTCGTCGGTCCCGCCACGTGGTGTCGTCCGCTTGTAGCTTGTAGTGGCATGCTCAGTCTGCCTGGAGGTGCATGCGGAACATCCCTGGTCGCATGCGTGGGTTTTTTCCATGTGGACCAGGCAGTTGCGGCTTTGATGATGGTGGAGTTGGGTGTGCGCACTGTGGCTGCTAAGCACCAGAGCTCTCCAAAACAAGCGAAGGCTCAGGAGGCCCATGTGAATCCATATATGATGTCAATGCGAAGGAGACCAATGTTTCCCCACTCAATGTGCCTTTGGATCGCGTCATGTGAGGTAGATGTGCAACAAGGTCTAAGACAACTGCAGCTGTCTAGGCCTAGGATCCAACTGGAATACTATCGACTGCTTGCAGCCGCTGTTAAGTTGGAGCAGTTTTCCTGGTTTTCCAGAGGATACCTACCTGAAGCCTGAAGTCTCAGTAAGATCAGTAAGTATGCCTCTAAATGTGTCGTGGCAGTGCGTTCTTTTTTTGGGCACGTTCGATGCTGCATTTGAGCTTTTGACATCTATTTACACAAAGGATGATTGAGGTTGGAAGAAAATCCAGTCTAATGTATAAGGCAAATTTGAGGATCGGCCCCTGGAAGAACATCCTTTCTTTCATTTCTTCCGTTTCTTCATAATTCATAATGGATCCTCTTTCAACGTAACCTTTTTAGTGCCTTCACACTCATACACACACACACTCGCAACTTTGGAATTCTACCATCAACAACCTCTCCAAGAAGGGCAGAACCGCTGATTTTGCACAAGGGTGGCTAAAAGTAAAGAACACCTTATGACAGATATTGCAACGATGGCGGCCAATCAACCTTTTGTCTCTGTGAGAAGCAATGATGATGCACACGGGCA